TTTATAAAACAAACTGGAGCCTTGTTGTTTTGCTGTGCAATTTACTACTTTAGCCAACAAATTGCTCCCAACGGAAGCACTTATACAACTGTCGTTTAGTAACTGTTAAAGGATGTACATACGCTAAATATGTTGGTAAACAACTTCACCATAACCTAACTTTCTGCTGTTATATTTGTGTAAAATGCTAAAATGCCATAATCAATGTTTTAAGACAAACAACGCATGCATATTGGTTCAAAAGGTTTTATCAACTGTTCAAACAGAAGACATAGTGTAATTACGTCTAAATATAGGATTTGTGGAAGATTTAACGCAGATAAGTTCAGTTTTCTATCTTAAAAATCTAGACATACTTTTGATCATTGTCAAAATATGAATCAAATACGAAGCCCGTAGAAATTGGGTAACTAATTTGCACTATAATCACAATACAATTTGCTGCGCAAGTAATTCAATAGCTCTATATCACAGTGTAGAAGTTTATCTTATACCTGTGTATGAAATTCACAATGGCCGATATGTAAGTAAACAAGATGACTGTAATGTGTTAGTTCTATATTCTTCACTTCGTCTATACAATCCATAAGAAATAGTTTGGTTGCAATAAAGTAGAATCACGTAACAGAATAGTTGTGTGGTTGACAAAAACTGAATCTTGCACTGACGCAAATGTCCTATAGCGGCTGCAAGAGGCTTACACTTTTGTTTTATAACTGTTACCTGCAGCCCTTATTTAACCTCTTAAATGACTGAAGTGTCCTATTAGGTGTGCCCATTCCGCTTGTATAGCTGTTCTAAGAGGGTTTTGCCAATGTTCTTACAGTATACAATGCTGTTTAAGGAATACTATATAATCGTTCTTGAAACTCTAATAGGAGTGATAATTGTCAGTTGGGAATATATTCTATTACCGACATGCAACATGACGTTAATAAATAGGTCAACGTAAAAATTATTGCAATCATGGATTATTTTCAAATTGCTGATATCTACAAAAAATCTCTTTTTTCGAAGACTATTCCTAACATACTGAAATGAGAGTACACACTTAGGTTCTGCTCTCCAAAGACTTTGACATCAGCAGGTTTGATTGCAATCTGTTTATTTTTGAAGTAAGTACAAACAATTTGGTAAATTAATATATTTTTAAAATTATTGTGATACGATATGATAGAGCGCATATAGAATGCAACGGATCAGGTTCCTGCTACCTAAATCGAAACTGTTGTTGAGTCAACGTGCAGAGGAGTGCGACTATGCATCAACAACGATGGCAAACAGTTCGAGCACCTGACCCGTCGACAACAACTTGTACTCTAAATCGGTGGAAAATAAAATAGGTATTTTTTAGGATCGTATACATATTTAAGAAACAAAAGTTTGAACATTTGAAAGCTAGCTTGTGAACAAGGCGACCTCAATGGTTATGACGTTTGCACTAATTTATTTTAGGTTATTCGATTGTTTCTGTCCCAGAATGTCATGGCATGGCACGCTGGATTCCGCTTTTTTAAATGAAATAACCGCCATAAAATTACAATTGTATAACACAATCTACACCCTTAAAAAATCTAAGTAATCAAGTGGATAAAAAGCACAGTATTTCCTGAATTCCTCATATTCCAAAGCCTACTGAGTTAAAATATGAGGTATAATTGAACTACGTAATTTTTCATATGGCAGGCGACACTCATGACCTCTATCATGTATAAAAAGCGTAAAAATAAATTTTCAAGTAAAATATCTTGTACCCGTATCACATTGATAACTATTCATACCTTATTTTTTTCTTTTTATGCAGTAGTACTTGAAGATTGTACTTTAAGGTTTTTTTTAATTAAGAACTCCATATCGAATGAATATATTGATCTGCGACTTTCGACATTTTATAGAATCTTTCTTTAAAAAAGTATACCATTGTATCAAAAATTTTCGAAATAATTAAAAAAAAAGACGGTGACACATCCATAAAACGCTCCCTAGTGGCCACAAAGTAAACTAATTTGACATGATTGAGTAAGAGCGCAGGAGCAAGCTTTTTCGAATGAAATCAGGATTGTTAAAATCGGTGCATCCAAACAGAACTTAAATTAATTTTTTTTACTGAAATGAGATTCAACCCTTCCCCCACAAAACATGGAAAAATGACAAAGTGGAAGTTTGTGAATCGAGCAATCAACATAATAGAGTTATTAAATCAGTACGTTATTATCTAATTTTTATATATTATACAGGGTGACTTCGAAGTTGAGTCATTTATTTTAACAGTGAGTAGATCTGATCAAAAGAAATGTTTTTTTCCTTTACCATTTTTCTGGTAAAATTAAAGTAACAAAGTTATAGCCCTTTGGAAGTTTGAGTACCGCCCTGTCTCAATAATAATATTATGTGCTCGCGAAAGCGAAAGAATTTGGAACGATGTTTTTACAATTATTTTATTCAGTTGTATACAGTCAGTGTCAGTCGGTAACGCGTAAGTGAATAGTGGTGTCTGTTGCGTGGCTCAAACGAAATAAAAAATGCACATATTTATGCGGATCGGTTTCCCAATCGAGTGCAACCAACCCCTCGTGCCTTTGTTAATGTAGTACAACGGGCTCGTGAATCGGGTGACTTAAGACCTCACAGGGGACGGCATGCCGATGCTCCAAGACCTCACGATCAAATACAGGTCCGCACTGAAATATTTGTCGGGAGGATACTTTATAAAACAAGGTAAAATTTTTTTTTTAATTTTTTTTTTATTTTTACACACATATTTTGGTTTATCTTCCTTCTACAATCATTATCTGAAAATTAATGACTCAACTTCAAAGTCACCCTGTATATACAAAGATATACTGGGTGGCCCATGCATGTGTGGACGAAATCTTACTCATAAACAAATGCATTTTGGGAAAATCTGTCCATGAAATTCGAGGGAACATTTCTAAGATATTGACCATTATACAGGGTGTCCCAATTTCGATCTACATATCAAAGTTGTGATTTTTCAAATGGAATGCCTCAAATTTTATTGCATATTGGGATAAACCAATTCAAAAGAAGACAATTAATATAACCTACTATGGGGTTTTTGTAATTAGCTACTGAGATACAAGGCATTTTGTCCAGAAAAACCCCCCACTTCGGCAATCCCTCAGTCCTCCATTTTGAAATTTGGAGTGCTGAATTTTGTATCAATAAAAAACTTACACACCTCAGATTTTATATTATTTGTTACTTTTTTCGAATTTTAATTTTTGCTCATACAGGGTGGTCAAAAACGCAAATTGTAGTTTTTCTCAAAAATTTCAAATACATCACCCTGTATATTTGTGCAAGTTTGGATTCAATTTTGTATAAGGTTTTTTTTTGGTATAAGGTTTGACTCAGATAAAATCACTAGATTTTGAGTTACTAAGCTTTTAATAGAACACACTAAAATTAAGGAAAAAATCACAATAGAGACAAAAGAAAAACAGTGGGCTAGTTCCATATTGCCACTAAGGGACGCAAAGACTGATAACAATCAGAACAGTATAAATCAGCTTCAAGCACAATAGAGAAAATTCGCCTTAGACAATTTGTCATAAAATTTTTCAACGGATGACTCTAGGTTAAACCGGTGTCCTTTATTGTTGGCTCACCAGATACATGTCATAATTATAACATATTATCACATTTTCGAAATTTTTCGCAACTAAAATACTCCCTTGACCAGTAACGTAGAAAGTACAATGTCAAACGAGACTTCATCCATAAATACAAAATGGTAGACAACTGCAAGAGGTTCATACCCTAATCCATATAGAAATATAATGCACATACAATAACAAAAAGCGTTCCCATCAAATGAATTGCACCTCTAATGGCCCATAAATCAGGAACCTGTTTATATAAACTAAATAACCTAGCCGTATCCTTTATTCAAATGGTCATAAATCACTCACAACTGTAAAGAAAAAGCTGCGAAGACAACAAGAAATGACTGAAAGCATGTGCTAATGACGACTTGTACGACACCGGCGCCTCCAAAGCAATAAACATTCACCTCATATTCGAATAGCAGGCGTTTTTGTCACTGCAATCATCGAATTAACAAGACGGTGTCTAACGGGACAGTCAAAAAAGTTCGATGTTGATGATTTGCGTGATGGAGATCGATTGAGATGAATGGTGTGAACGAATCTAGGTCTGCAGGTCCAAAAACGAATAGTAAAGAAAAGTAAAATCCGGTAGTTTATTATAATAAATTGCATGTTTTATGGCTTCCTTTTCCTGAGAATTGCGTGGTTGCACCTCATTGAATATGCATTACCTTGTTTTTCCTATATGAAGATCATACGTGCATGTTCAATTGATTGTCTCTGTGCGATGCTTCTCTTATTTCAGATCTGCGTCATTTTTGGGTCATACTTAAGAAATTGGAAGACTGGAAGACTACGTGTTACAAACATTAAGGTCGAATGTTCGTTTTTTCAACTACCTGTTTTGAGCAGCTTATTTTATAGTAGTAGTAGACGTAAACACTTATTTACTCCATTATATAACAATAACAACACAGAATGGATAAATAAATGTTCCAATCCACGGAAGGATAGTGTTTGTACATGGATCAGCTGTACGTTGGAATGTGTTCCAAAATCAAAACAACAAAAGAAACTTGAAGACAAACTTATACCAAAGAGGTTTATAATGTAGAGGACGATAATTTTTAACGAATATTTGATAGGAACTCTTGCGCGTATCGATTTTGATAATTAATTTTTAAAACTATGTATATTTCGAAATTGTTTAAGGCTTGCAATAGTAAATAGTAAATAGTATACGTAATTAAAAATTGTTTTACATAATTAAATTATCTATGACACACTTTCTGATTAAAAACAATCCTTTTCCGACCTACGTGAAAATAGCTGAGGAATAAAACATTTGAAATAGCAGGACCTATGTGATATATGAAGCAAAAAACTGTGTTACTCTTCGCTTAAAAAGTGACTCTGATATTAACTTACAGCCCTTAGTAGGAATAACGATCATATTCTGATTCATATCATCTCCTTCAGCCCTATCTGTCCTTTCACCCTTTTCTTCTTTAACTGGCTTCACTTCAAAAGAGTAAGTTGTCGCCATTCGTAGTCCTTTGATATCAGCACTGAATACTTTAAAATCTTCATCCTTATCTACCGAGTTCTGCTCCGCAACGGTTTGTTTGACACTTTGGTTTCTGCACCTGAAACGAAATTGTCTGTTGATTATTCGACTCAAATGCTCAAAAACTTAAGTTTCCTAAATCTTTTTGAAATGGTGTTCCCGGGATTTACATAGAAAGTTTTAGCTTTGCTACAGCTTTTATAGATCAGTAGATATACTAAGTGACATATAAATCCGAACACCCAGTTTAAATGGTTTTATTTTAATAAAAGTTGTTGAATGTATTTATCTTACTGTAAATGACAAGTGTAAACATTTTCAGCCTTATCAGTTGGACATTCCGGTTTTTATACTGCTTTTTTTTTAATTCACTAACGCTCTAAAAATGAATATTTCAGCCGCAGTAAAGAATCAACGTTGGCGGATTTTGGTTCTTGACATCCTTTACGATCGGTTACGATGCCTAGAGTACGGAGACCTGTACGATTTCGTCAACTTAGTGAGTTTGATAGGGGCCATATAGTGGGACTTCGGGAAGCTGGACTTTCTTTTCGGGCAATTGCAGTTAGAGTGCAAAGAAGTGTAGACACTGTGGTTAGGTGTTGTCAGGCATGGCTTCGAGAAGGCCGTATGCAAAGAGCAAGGGGCACTGGACGCCGCCGTAGAACAACAGACCGTGAAGATCGCCGCCTAAGATTATTGGCCTTAAGGGACCGTTTCTCCACTACCAGGTCCATTGCAAATGAATGGTTTGCAGAACACGGAAGACCTATTGGCATGCGAAGTGTTTACCGACGAATGAGAAGTTTTGGCTTGTTTTCATACCGGCCACACTGGGTCCTCCCTTTAACTCGAGAACACCGACGTAATCGCCTTGAGTAGTGCAGACAACGGTCACTCTGGGATCAGGAATGGAACAGTATTGTCTTTAGTGATGAGTCTCGATTTTGTTTAGGCATGCACGATGGTCGTGCCAGGGTTAGAAGGCGACGTGGTGAAAGGAGGAATCCACAGTTTTTTGTTGAAAGACATGTTCATCACACTGTTGGAGTTATGGTTTGGGGTGCTATAGCTTATGGTTCCAGGTCACCTTTAATCTTCATCAGAGGTAACATGAACGCGCAGCGTTATATCCACGAAGATATCTTACCCTATCTTGACACCCTGGCAGATCCAACTTTCCAACAAGATAATGCCCGACCACATGTTGCAAGAGTCACAATAGACTTCTTTCAACATTATGATGTCACATTGTTACCATGGCCATCAAGATCTCCCGACTTATCCCCAATTGAGCACGTGTGGGATATGATGGGTAGGAGATTGCTTAATTTGCAACGTCCTCCTCAGACTCTAGAAGCACTTCGAGAGGAGTTGGTGGTTGCCTGGAATGAGATACCACAGGAGGACATTGACCACCTGATCAGAAGCATGCCTAGGCGCGTTGGAGAATGCGTAGCACATCAGGGTACATCCACACATTATTAAAGGTCAACGGGCTTTAAAGCAGTGCAATCATTTTCAAATTTTTATCATTTACTTATTATGCTTCATGAAGTACTTATACAAAATTTTATTAAAATAAAACCATTTAAACTGGGTGTTCGGATTTATATGTCACTTAGTATATTTGAACAGAGTGCATTTCGGAAATATTTCTGGTCGTGAAAATGCAAATTGAGAATATCGCAGCAGCAAAGAATACACGGCTGAAGTAAATATTTTTCCGTTTTCCACCATTACAAATTTATTTTGACGTTTCTCATAAATAAATAGTCATCAGTCCTCCATCGCCTCTTTTTGGACAAATGTACTCCTGATTGTTATTAATTAACACAAACTACACTAGATCATACCAAAATATACTCATTTTCGGAATTCCAAAAATATCTTCAGCCGCTGGCATGGTACGCGGCAACACCGCCTGTTGCTGACCACTAAAACCTCTTTCATCGTTGCACCAGGGGAATTTTCAATCGATTTTTTCCGCCGTTTTGAAACTGACAGGATAGCTTCATAGCTGATTGTTATCTAAGCTGTGGCTGGTTTAACCAAGAGCAAAGATCCTACGGATTATTTTAAGACCCAAGATACACAGACAATAAATGTAGTAAAAGGATCTGCTAAATAAAAAAATCCAGGGTCGTAGGACGTCTAGGTAGAGGTAAATCGTGTCCGATCGACTTATTTTGAGCTTAAAAATACATGGTACTCCTATGTCCACGGAATATTGGGGCATCCTTGATGAATACATGAAGTAGTAAGATAAAAAACCAAATACATTTTCGGTGTCATAATAGATCGAGGTGCTTCTCGGACATCCACTGTCTATAAAATCCGAGAAGCAATACCTCGAATGTTTAATCAAGCGGAATCGCACAGCAACCCTCTATTGCGTGATTGTTCGCAAACATTCCAGGCAGCGCCTCGCACTGTGATCAAAATAATTCGAGTACTAGTCAAAGCAGTAATGCTTAAGCTATTTCAAACGATTTACTTCTTTTCTTTGCTCTATTCCTTCCCTCCTTTCTTTCCTTATTTCCCTTTTCTCCTTAAACATGTTTGGTATCTGGGTAGCCAGACCTGACAGACTAACAGACTGACGAGACTTTTAACTAAGAGCAAAGGTCCACCGGACCGCTCTGACGAATAATGACGAATAGTACCTCGAATTTCAAAAAATTGTCACAACAGATATCGTATATCATCGTGACAGATGTATACACAAAAAGATGACAGAACATCTATAGTGAGTACATTCTAATTCTAACGGGTGATTTTTTAAGAGGTATAGGATTTTATTTTCAAAAAAACATAAAAAATTTGAAAAAACGATTAAATATTTATTTGAGTCAATAGAACGGTCGATATTAATGTTTAAAGATTATTTCATGTAAATGTTGGCCGCGGCTCCGCTTTAGATGGCCCATGCGCAAGGCCCAATTTTGGCACACTCTCCAACATATCGGCCGGTATCTCACGAATAAATGCTTCAATATTGGCTTCTAGTGCGTCAATCGTTGCTGGTTTATCTCTGTAGACATCAGCCTTAACATGGCCTCACAAGAAATAGTCCAACAAGTTTGACAATGACACAAGACACGATTCACGCGTAATCTGTCAAAAACAGTGTTGCCAAAAAGATACTAGCAAAAAAATCACCCATTAGTTTCACGCTCACGGTAATTTTTTAAGCTAATTAATTTGTCGTGTTTGGTCTTCCTTACCTCTGAGCGCCCCAAGTCTGAAGCTCGCAGAATCGTACCGTAAATCCATTTTTGGGCAGCGCTTCACCGTCCACTTCCCAATGCAGACGCACCTGTCGATAGTCTGGTTCACCCATCAGGTTTCTGACGACTGAAAATAAAAGAGGGCGGTTAGAGAGCAGATTGGTTTATTTACATCATTGCTTGGCGCCATTAAACGTAAACAATTTTTCCCAAAAATAGGGCACAAAATTTATGCGGTACTGGTACGGCAAAATTTATTTATTTATTTGTTAATTTATTTATGTATTTATTTATTGGTGTTTAATACACGTGCGTATCGACACAGGTCAAAGTGGAAGTTAAGGTACAGATGTAACGTATAATCCACAAAACAACAAAAATCGTTGGAAAGAACAACATCGACAGAAAAAATTAAAAATGATTATTATGATTATAAATTAAATACTAAGCTATAGATCAAACTCATCCGAACAAATTAACAAACAGAGCAAAAGTAAGGAATACCATTATAAAGTAATTATTTAAAAATTCCTCAGTGGTATAAAAAGCTTTACTGATAAGTTCAATTCTACAGGGTGTCCCGAAAAAAGTGTTCAATATTCTACCAGCGGTTTAAAGAGCTTAAAATAAGAAGAAAATTTTATATAAACATAGGTCGACAAATGTCCCCTAAGGGCGCTACGGTCATTTAAAGGGGCTCCCCTGAAGATGGTTTTTCCTTAATATTTCCGAAACGTGTTGAGATAAAGACATAAAATTTGGTATTCCAGCCTAGTTTTTTATGCTGGATTTAAAAATATTAACAATTTTAGACAGTTTTGTTTGGAAGGGTATGTAACAGGCACGGACTCAGGTTATTTGAGCCCCAAAATTTTTGTGTGATTCTATTTTTGAAATTCATATTTAGAATTTGAAAATCTAGGATTTTCTGCATAAAAAAGGTACTCTTATTGAATATCGATAAATTGTGCCATTTTTGAATAAAATCAAACTAAAAAATTTGTCACATGATAGGAAATATACTGCGAATTTAAATGAATTGTTGATTATACATAGTTAGCCATGACTGCAAACAAAAGTTGTTTTGATTTGTTATGACTTATGACATTGTTAGCAGTGTAAAATTACTAGATTAAAATCAAAATTTTTAGCTCTAGACACCGCTGCTAGAATATTGCACACTTTTTTCGGGACACCCTGTACACTTGCATGAGCCGGGGCTAGACCTTTTGTGTGCTTCGGGAAGAACATTATAAAAGTGGATTACATAGTAATCAGAAAAGTTTCTGGTCCTTTGTAACATGGATTGGTTGTGCTGTAAGTTCTAACCCAAATTGGTTGGTTAGGACTACATGTAAAGAATTCCAATTAGTATCTTAATCCACCTCAATGTTATACTTTTTATTTTGAAGTTGTAACTTCAAGACCTCGGTAAGGGAGTATTTTGGCACCCACGTTTATGACCTTTTCGTGTCTTTTTGTATGGGAAAGGATTTCCACTATTTTCTGAATCACTCTGTTTCTAACTGTCCATACTGATTTTACTGCTAAATTACTTTACATTTTTAAATTCTTTATACTGTTGATCTGCTTTTTATACTACATATATAGGAAGTAAGCTATGTAAAGGTAATTAGAAAGAACTATGACTTCCTTTACATCATTTTTAATGATCCAAAGGATTGGTAACGTATCCATCTGCATACTCATATACCTTAAGACCTTAACTCGTTCTGGGATACGTTTTATAAAGTTTCTTAGTGCCATTTGGTATACCGTGTTCATCTGTTCATTTATCTGCGCTTTCAAGTACGTACGTTTTCGACTGAATGAGATAATAATGGATGCGTAACTAACAACTAAGCATATTCATTTTCAGTGCTTGGTGAGTTACGTAGTGGAAAATTAGTTGGTTGTACAGATAATCATTCACGAACATGCAGTTAGTGGTTATGAGCTTGGAATTAGTACTCATTATAAAATCATTTCCAAGTAGTCTCAGATTTGTTAGTAAAATATGACATAAGGAAGGAAGTGGCTAGCACAGTCGGTAGAACAGAACACCGACAATTTTGACAATTCGTTTGTCTTGCTGCTGTAAAGAGCGTTGAATAAACAAAGTAAAAGAAAGAAGGTCATCCCAGTTATGGTTCGAGGGTAGCGATAAAGGCAGCAAATAAATTTGGGCGAAGCCACAAAATGTCCTTCCGGTCTGATTCCAGAGAAACATCTCTGGAGCATCTCATATTGGAATGCACCTCGTAATTTGGGAAGCTAAGATGGTTAATCGGTGCGAACTCTGAGATTTTTGTCTCCGCCAAGAAAAACATGCCGGGACGATTGGATTGCAAGTAGTGATGAACAGCATCAATGTTGCTGTTAATCCTACAGATGTTCGTGAAACAAATTTTATCTTCGATGTTGTTACCTCGAGTCCACCCTCCACCCGGACATTCCGAGAGTGGAGTGACTTTGCGTCCGAAATTCTTAGTGCTCGAGGGATCCATCATCACGAATTTATTTGTTTTGGAAGATAACCGACTGCATAGATTAGGTGTGGAAACAAGCGGATATTTATAAGACCCTGGGAAACGCTATAGGGTGGTACCGCCTCGTTCGACTGGTCTTTGTCTACCACCTTTTTTTTGCGTGTTAATGATATTAAATAGACCTAAAGTGGCACGTATAGTGCAGCAGCTCTGTGATTTAAACGAATTCAATATAACAACATAAATAGACACATAAGCGAGAAGAGATGCAGGACGTGTGGTATTGACTTTGAGCATCGATCGACGCAGTTTCTGGACAGGCCACAGGCGCACCGCTAAACAAGTCTCATAAATGTCTATTTCCAATTTAGGCGTTAATCTAACATAGTGCTTCACTGCAACACCAATCCCGAACAAAATCAGTCAAGCTTTACACATTTTTCAAATTACTATTGAGCAACAAACAGAACATAAATCACTTTTTAAGTGCAATCAGTACAGCTAATATATTATCCAGACTTAGATTTGTCGCAAGTCACAATACTCGTATACAGGGGTGTTTCAGTTTATTGTTGCATAACTTTGAAATTCGATAGAACTTTTAAAATGAATGCATAAAGTCTATATAAAGATGGGTCGAAAAATGCGTGACTTCCGAAATACAGGGTGTTTAAATTTACTTTCTAAAATAGTTTTTTTTAAATATTTCGAACAATATTCGATGTATAACAGTGAAAATTGGTATACAAGGGTTTTTTGGTACGACAAAACGAACCATGTACTGTAGCCGCTAGAGGGCGCTCTCTACTGTACCTGTAGTGTATTAAAATGACCGAAAAGTTTTTCTTGGTGTAATTTTTTGCTTTTTGAATAAAAAACCTGATTCTTCGCACTTTTCAACATAAAAAAGCTCTCCTGTGAGTTTTAGTTATAGTTAGCCGTTTTTGAGATATTTCGATTTTTAAGGTTCGATGCATTTTTAATTATTTATGGGAAAATAATATTTTTTTTACATTTTCGATTTGGGCGTTACAAGTAATTAAGATGATCGTTTAGATTGTGTTTTTAAGCACAGCAATAATTCCTAACTCCAAATAAATACAAAAAACAGAATATTAATTTGTTTAATTTTCCAATATTATTTTTAACAAATTAAATTAATTATCTACAACTAAAATGCTATTGGATAGTTAGGACAAACATACAAAATCTAAAGTAGTTGCTCGAAATGTAAACCCAATTGTTCAATACACAATTCACATCTACGAATGATCGAACGTGGTATATCATTATTCAAATAAGGCCTTATTTCATCACATGCATTCCTGATTCTGTCTATTAGTATATCTCTTGTGGTTACGGGAGTCTGGTATACTTTTTCTTTTAGAAATCCCCACACAAAGAAATCTAATGGATTTAGGTCAGGGGATCGTGGAGGCCAGCCGACTGGTCCTCCACGGCCGATCCATCTTTCTGGATAATTTTCGTCCAGCCAGTTTCTAACTATTCTCGAATAATGAGCTGGACAACCATCAAGCTGAAACCAGGCCAATCTTCTTAAATCTAACATAACATCATCCCACATATTTGCATGTTCAGCCTTTAAAAATTCCAAGAAGGTCGCAGCATTTAACCTTGCAGGCAAAAGGTAGGGTCTAAATAGTCGATTACCGTAGATACCAGTCCACACATTCACACTAAATTCATGCTGAAAATTTCTTTCCCGAACTGCATGCGGATTTTCATGCGACCAAATATGTTGATTATGAAAATTTACCACTCTACGTCTAGTGAAGCATGACTCATCGGTCCATAAAACGTTACTTAAAAACTCCTTATTATTATCAGTTCTATCAAGAATCCACTGACAAAATGTGATTCTTCATTCTCCGTCCCCTGGCTGTAGTCCTTGCACAGGTTGCAAATGGTAAGGACATCTATAGTCATTTCTAAGAACACGGTGAACATGGCTTGCTGAAATTCCCAAGGCACCAGAAACTCTCCTAACACTTGTGGTCGGATCTCTATCAAACTCACGCAGAATCATACGGGTAAATCTGCGCTGACGAACATTTATGTTTTGATCCCTTTGGAGATTTCCAAAACCATTTTCAATTATTTGGCGATGCACTCTTACAAATACTGAGCGAGTTGGATGTCGTCTGTTTGGAAATCTTCGTGCGTATTCTCTGGCTGCTTCTGCTGCGTTTCCATTTACAAAGCCATACACAAAATGAATATCCGCTAACTCTTGATTGGAGAATAAAAATGGCATTTTTATAAAACTTACAAAAATAACAGGTAAAAGAAACTAAATTCCTAAGTATAACGAAAATTCACAAGAGTGTTTTTTTATGTTGAAAAGTGCGAAGAATCAGTTTTTCTATTCAAAAAGCAAAAAATTTCACTAAGAAGGAATTTTCGGTCATTTTAATACACTACAGGTACAGTAGAGAGCGCCCTCTAGCGGATACAGTAAAACTATGCCCATGGTTCGTTTTGTTGTACCAAAAAACCCTTGTATACAAATTTTCACTGTTATACATCAAATATTGTTCGAAATATTTAAGAAAAACTATTTTAGAAAGTAAATTTAAACACCCTGTATTTCGGAAGCCACGCATTTTTCGACCCATGTTTATATAGACTTTATGCATTAATTTTAAAAGTTCTATCGAATCTTAAAGTTATGCAACAATAAACTGAAACACCCTCTATACGTATAACAAGTGATGTCAAGGAGGGACAACATTTGGAATACCAAAGGATACCAAAAAATCATAATGCTCAGTTCCTATAGCTATAAATTATAGTTAGTATGCCTCCGTCACCATGATGTAACAGAAAGTAACACACAGTAATGTTGTTAGATTGATGAGCTCCAGTGCCTGACGAAGATGTCTAGAGATGCTTCTCTATTTCAGAGTGTGATGGTTAAATATTAGTTCCTCCGTTATCCTCCTGACTCTTTACGCGGGCACCCCTAAGGCTCATTCAGCTTTCCCGCTGATCCTGCTTTCGCAAGCGCTTCCCCTTCCAGGATGCGAGATACGCATCGATTTCCGCCTGGAAAATAGTAGCGTATCTACCGAGAGACAGAGAGAGCCTAGATCTAGGCCCAAAGGCCCCCGCGAAAGATCCCTCTTCAGGAACCTAGCCGTCCGTGTACCAGACTCCGTAGTATCCTCGTCGAATATTCCACATTGAGCTTGCCGTTACTTAGGGATGATCAGATCATTCCTGCTCAGAAGAACGAGATCCCGCCTTGGCAATTCGACTAAGATGGCCATGTGACCTTGGACTGACATATGCCCTGACTCCACAGTGGTAGGAAAGATAACTATACATATAAATTTTTCTACCATTATTTATATTATAGAGAGTACTCCCGAGTTGTTTCAACAATAGCATAGTTTGTAGAGAAATACTGACAACGATATCTCTTATATCAGTCAGAATATTACCGATATGATGAAAACTCTCCTTTAAACCTCATGTTAGTCGCACGTCGTGAGTAATATTTTGTTTTGATATTCGTATTATCGCTTTTATGAACCACAACACGTATGCCATAGCTATTAGATTTATAATGCTCTCTCTCAAGGTGGATTTTCCACAATATTCATAGTGCAAAGATGCAGAATCGGACTTCGGTTCAAGAGATGTGTCGGAAAATATGTCACTCAGCTCAATTTAATTTGGTTTGCCTTAACCTAAGGATGTCAGCATTTCTTTGTAGAAGCCTGAATACCAGGCCACCGCATTTATACTTTTGACTTGCATACTGTATTACAGTTTTGTAGTATTCATACTTACGCAGACGATACACAATTGACCTTCACTTTTGACTCTACTAATGTGGATCAAGCTTCGTATAAAATAAATTTAGATCTGGTAAATATAACTGACTATTGCAAGGCTAACTGTTTGAAGCTCAATCCTACCAAGAGTTTTGCGGTGTTGTTCTGTCCCAAAACCAGCTATGAGCATTTTGAAAGGATGATTGATTTGAGGGTAAATAATGACCATATTCCACTCGTCACGCATGCAAAAAGTCTAGGTGTTACTTTAGACGTAAATCTTAGATTTCATCACCACGTCAGTAATATATCTAAAGCTACATATGCAAGCCTAAGACTCCTAACTCCAATCGTTCTATTCTCAATTTCAAGACTAGAAAGAAATTGGTGGAAAGTTTAGTTATGTCTAACCTGCTTTACTGTTTTATACTGTTTTATCCTTGTCTTGACTCCATAACAAAAACCAGATTGCAGAAAATTCAAAATTGTTGTTGTCGTTTTGTTTTCGGCCTTCGTAGGTATAGCCATGTTACATCCAAGATCTGTGAGCTGGGGTGGCTGAAGCTCAATAATCTTTTCAAGTTTCATATGTTGGTTTTTGTACATAAAACAGTCGTTACCAAGAGACCTATTTACCTTGCAAATAAGTTAGTTCCGCGTAGGAATTTAATTTCAAGAAGGTTACGTCATGATGAACAGTTCAATATTCCTCTTCACTACACCTCATTATATCAGAGATCTTTCACGTATAATGCTGTTGAGCTTTACAATTCAATCAGTGCGGCTAACAAACAAGAAAGTTTACTCTCTTTTAAGAAATCAGTTGGAAAACAGCTATTGGAGATGCAATCGTCTCTCAGTGTTTGAGTTGTTGGTTTGTTTTATTTTTATGACACTTTATTATTATTATTATTATATTAATAGTTCAAGTGTGCATTTGTTTCTTTTTCTTATTATTACTATTGTTTGTTTGTGTATCGAGTTTAACTGTGTTACTCTTTCGTACACAGTGAGGTTAAGTGTAAGAGTAGACATTTGGCTAAACTTCGCCTCACTGATGTATGCTGATTAATAAAGACATTTATTATTATTATTATTATTATTTGCTATGAGGAGCTTAATATAACTTTGTTAATCCGATCTTTGAACTGCCCAAGGTCAATAGACCTGGGAAAAGCCTTCTCAGTTTTTAGAACAAGGATACTATTATGCCGAGGATAAAAAGGCCTTATAGATTACGATGATCGACCCAGTATCTGGGCAACTACGGTCAAAAAACAAGAAAGAATAATAGAAAATAGTTCAACATACGTTTTTTTGACGTTTTTAGAGCCTTGTACTTTTACAGGCGTTGAAAATTGAGGATTGGAGATTGTTAGGGAGTCGGAGTAGGGGGTTGTCAGTGCAATGTAAATCTTTGATATCAGTTGGTATTTGTAAAACACGTTCTATTATTAAGAAATCAGGCATATAGTCACACCTACTTTCTATACATGTGCTATTGAAAAAAATATCTATTTGCAAATATTCAATCCGTCCGTGATACAAATTTTCTCGTCAACCCGTGAGTCTGTATTAAATTTATAGAAAGTAAATAAAAACAAAGGGTTCTCCATCACCCATTGCATGTATGAGTGCAAAAGCGAGTAGCAGCCGGGTTGCAGCATGCAATTTTCCCTAGGGAAGTTAAGCTACGCATATGATAATAATAATAATAACAATAATAATAATAAATCGTCTTTATTTAGGGGCAAAGTTTAGCATAATGCTACTCTGTCACTAAACGTTAAAAAAAGGAAAACTGAAAAAACAATACAAAAAACATAAATACATTTGATAAGTTTAAAAATGTAGGTGTATAAAAAATATTTCATGATTTAAAAGTATAAAATTGTAACAGTTATACAAAGCAGAGGAGTGCTATACTGGACATATGTTTTTGTGAGGTGACAGATAAATTTCATCAACTAATTTATATACTTCTATTCAAAATAATTTGTTTCACATGTCTTTTAAATTTTGTGGTTCGATTGTAAAAAATAATTGCGTTGTAGGTGAAGCATTTACGAAAGAATGATGTCCTGTGAAGGGGCATTGTGAGTGTTTCAGTGAATCGAATGTCCCTAGAATGGATGCTGCTTTTAGATATCAGCTTATTTCTCAAAAAAACGGCGGAATGGATGATAGCAAAAGCCTGTGGGTGTAAGTAACTAAGTGTGGCTCACACAGTTCATCCTCTCTCAACCACTTCATGTCATTGAGGGCTGATATCATATTTTTTCAAATTATTGATTAACCTACAACATGGGTTTTGGATTTTTTGGAGACATGCTAGAGATATTGAGTCAAGAAATGGAAGATAGACTAAATCGCAATAACTAATTTTGGACATTACCAAAGATTTACAAAAAATTTTTTTAGTTGTAAAGTCAAGAAATTGTTTATTAAGATATAATTGACGTAAAATTGAAAAACAACTCTTACTGATATTTTATACATTTGGTATAAAATTTGGACATTCATCTAAAGTTACGCCCAAGTTTTTCACTGACTCACTTACTTCTATAGTCTCACCTTTTAATTTTACTTTAAAATTTCTTTTGGCATCACTTTTAATTAGTTTTGGTGAAAAAGGATGACTTTCGATTTTAAAGGATTCAACTGAAGGTTATGATTTTTTGAATACATACTAATGGATGTTACATCTTCATTTACCTCAGATTCAGCATTTCGAATGTCGTGATCATGGAAATGACTGTAAATCTGTGAATCGTCGGCAAAGAATTGGATATTACAGTATTTAACAACTGAGTGGAGATCAGAATAATACAAAATGAATAGGAGTGGCCCAAGTACAGACCCTTGAGGCACTCCGGAGGAAATGAGGCACTTTGAAGATGGAACCATGTCAATGTGCACGCTTTGATATCGATTTTCTAAGAAGCTCTGAATCATTTTTGAGGCAGAATCAGAAAAACCAAAATATTTACACTTGGCTACTAGAAGATGATGATTTATGGTAACGAATGCCTTAGAGAAGTCAAGAAGAACTAATGATGTGATCATATGTTGATCCCAGGCTCTAACAATGTTATCGGTTAAGTCTAATAGGGCACCTGCAGTGTTATATCCTTTTCGATAATCGCATCGTTTGGGAGGCAACATTTTATGTTTAGAGAGATAATCGCATATGGTACAAGTGGTCAATCTGTTTAATTATGTCGTATGATATTGCGATATAATCCTTAAAATCGCAAAGGACTATAGTTAAGCTGCTATTCTATTGTATATGTAATAGTTGTTTACTACAAAATTATCTCGATCATTTTCTATGCTCTGGCATTAAAAGACGCCTCACTTGTTTCCAAAACTAAGCTACCCAAGTCATTCACTTGAATATATAACAATTAAATCAAAAAGTTTACAACTGTGCATACTGGTAAAAAATAATTGCCCGTCATTATGCAACAAGGTAATATGAATACAAAGTTTTTGCTGTTAAAGGTACTTTTACCTATTCATCTGCAAATTAATTAAATTAAAAAGAGCTGGATATTGGATATTAGCCTTGGATATAACGCACTTCATTGTTGAGATGTTGGGATGAAGGACATCTGGCGTCTTGTACTACACCAAGCTGAAGAAGAGTCAGGCTCTGTTTTAGCATTGCGAACAATGCATCATCCCGTTATCGCACCTTTCCGGTTATGGGAATAACCATATTACCATCTTTCGCATAAACACAGTTAATCAGTTGTGTATATAAGTCTGCAATCAATCGGATGCTTATAACTTCATTCTTAGTTACAGTGATTTACCGACGCACAATAATGGTAAGTTTGTGCATACACATTCTTGTTTTTGAATACTTTTTTGAATATTGTTAATGGTATTTCTTGTTTTTGAGTTATTTTATAGAAAAGTGGTTTATTTATCTAGAACTTTGCGTCAGGTTGCGGATCGCTAACGCTGGCTTATAGTATACTAAGTGACATATAAATCCGAACACCCAGTTTAATAAAAGTTGGTGAATGTATTTATCTTACTGTAAATAACAAGTGAAAAAATTTTCAGCCTTATCAGTTGGACATTCCGGTTTTTATACTGCTTTCTTTTAATTCACTAACGCTCTAAAAATGAATATTTCAGCCGCAGTAAAGAATCAACGTTGGCGGATTTTGGTTCTTGACATCCTTTACGATCGGTTACGATGCCTAGAGTACAGAGACCTGTACGATTTCGTCAACATAGTGGGTTTGATATGGGCCGTATAGTGAGACTTCGGGAAGCTGGACTTTCTTTTCGGGCAATTGCAGTTAGAGTGCAAAGAAGTGTAGACACTGTGGTTAGGTGTTGTCAGGCATTGCTTCGAGAAGGCCGTACGCAAAGAGCAAGGGGCACTGGATGCCGCCGTAGAACAACAGACCGTGAAGATCGCCGCCTAAGATTATTGGCCTTAAGGGACCGTTTCTCCACTACCAGGTCCATTGCAAATGAATGGTTTGCAGAACACGGAAGACCTATTGGCATGCGAAGTGTTTACCGACGAATGAGAAGTTTTGGCTTGTTTTCATACCGGCCACACTGGGTCCTCCCTTTAACTCGAGAACACCGACGTAATCGCCTTGAGTGGTGTAGACAACGGTCACTCTGGGATCAGGAATGGAACAGTATTGTCTTTAGTGACGAGTCTCGATTTTGTTTAGGCATGCACGGTGGTCGTGCCAGGGTTAGAAGGCGATGTGGTGAAAGAAGGAATCCATAGTTTTTTGTTGAAAGACATGTTCATCACACTGTTGGAGTTATGGTTTGGGGTGCTATAGCTTATGGTTGCAGGTCACCTTTAATCTTCGTCAGAGGTAACATGAACGCGCAGCGTTATATCCACAAAGTTCTAGAACCCCATCTTTTACCCTATCTTGACACCCTGGCAGATCCAACTTTCCAACAAGATAATGCCCGACCACATGTTGCAGGAGTCACAATAGACTTCTTTCGACATAATGATGTCACATTGTTACCATGGCCACCAAGATCTCCCGACTTATCTCCAATTGAGCACGTGTGGGATATGATGGGTAGGAGATTGCTCAATTTGCAACGTCCTCCTCAGACTCTAGAAGCACTTCGAGAGGAGTTGGTGGTTGCCTGGAATGAGATACCACAGGAGGACATTGACCACCTGATCTAAGCATGCCTAGGCGCGTTGGAGAATGGGTAGCACATCAGGGTGCATCCACACATTATTAAAGGTCAAAGGGCTTTAAAGCAGTGCAATCATTTTGAAATTTTTATCATTTACTTATTATGCTTCATTAAGTACTTATACAAAATTTTATTAAAATAAAACCATTTAAACTGGGTGTTCGGATTTATATGTCACTTAGTATATTTCTCACTATTCGACCTTGATTTATAAACTGAATTGGAACGATTGATTCGATGGAGTAGAAAATTGCTATAGGATCTTGACATAGTGGATTCTAATCATTTTTCATAGTGGATCTGTAGAGCTTTAAACGCATAAGGACTTTTAACCAGGGATAAAAAAATAGACATAGCGATAGATTCATAGGCAGATTCCAGTTTCAAAAAACCTATATACGATACATGGCCCTTTTAGTTTGTGACATGAAGAAATCTCAGGTTTATTCAAGTTTTACTCCTGAAAGTATTTTAGCTACTTGCATGCAGAAACAAAGTTTGTGATTGTTATAGTACTTAGTTTTACTACGCACCAACGTTTCATGACATGTACATTACAAGAAAACCATGTCATTTGTTTCCGTCGGTTTGTTTGTCTGTCTGTCGATGTCTCTGTCCGCTAATTCTTGCTCCACATATAACCTAGAAATTAACAAACAGATCTTGATGAACTTTCAGACAAGGAGGACGAAATAGTTATGTAATTTTTGAAAATTGGTCCAGTGTCCAATAGACAAAATACAATGCAAACATAAAAATAGCTCAAACTTCGTTTCTTGGCGTTTTAAACGACCCGTTCGTTGCCGGAAAAAATGTGGTGGTTTAAAATTTGTTTTTTTTTTGGGTAGGGGATGTTATGTCTCAATTTTCTGGCGTTAGCATATTCATACGTTTTCATCCCCTGAAATTCTAAGCACCAAGTAACATTTCATTGATTTCTCCATAAGCTTCCCCTTAAGACTTAATAGAAGTATTTTCAACACACGCGTAATGTATACTAAGTGACATATACATCCGAACACCCAGTTTAAATGGTTTTATTTTAATAAAAGTTGGGGAATGTATTTATCTTACTGTAAATAAAAATGTGAAAAAATGTTCAGCCTTATCAGTTGGACATTCCGGTTTTTATACTGCTTTTTTTTAATTCACTAACGCTCTAAAAATGAATATTTCAGCCGCAGTAAAGAATCAACGTTGGCGGATTTTGGTTCTTGACATCCTTTACGATCGGTTACGATGCCTAGAGTACGGAGACCTGTACGATTTCGTCAACATAGTGGGTTTGATATGGGCCGTATAGTGAGACTTCGGGAAGCTGGACTTTCTTTTCGGGCAATTGCAGTTAGAGTGCAAAGAAGTGTAGACACTGTGGTTAGGTTTTGTCATGCATGGCTTCGAGAAGGCCGTATGCAAAGAGCAAGGGGACCCCGCCGTAGAACAACAGACCGTGAAGATCGCCGCCTAAGATTATTGGCCTTAAGGGACCGTTTCTCCACTACCAGGTCCATTGCAAATGAATGGTTTGCAGAACACGGAAGACCCATTGGCCACACTAGGTCCTCCCTTTAACTCGAGAACACCGACGTAATCGCCTTGAGTGGTGCAGACAACGGTCACTCTGGGATCAGGAATGGAACAGTATTGTCTTTAGTGACGAATCTCGATTTTGTTTAGGCATGCACGATGGTCGTGCCAGGGTTACAAGGCGACGTGGTGAAAGGAGGAATCCACAGTTTTTTGTTGAAAGACATGTTCATCACACTGTTGGAGTTATGGTTTGGGGTGCTATAGCTTATGGTTCCAGGTCACCTTTAATCTTCATCAGAGGTAACATGAACGCGCAGCGTTATATCCACGAAGTTCTAGAACCCCATCTTTTACCCTATCTTGACACCCTGGCAGATCCAACTTTCGAACAAGATAATGCCCGACCACATGTTGCAAGAGTCACAATAGACTTCTTTCAACATAATGATGTCACATTGTTACCATGGCCACCAAGATCTCCCGACTTATCCCCAATTGAGCACGTGTGGGATATGATGGGTAGGAGATTGCTCAATTTGCAATGTCCTCCTCAGACTCTAGAAGCACTTCGAGAGGAGTTGGTGGTTGCCTGGAATGAGATACCACAGGAGGACATTGACCACCTGATCAGAAGCATGCCTAGGCGCGTTGGAGAATGGGTAGCACATCAGGGTGCATCCACACATTATTAAAGGTCAAAGGGCTTTAAAGCAGTGCAATCATTTTGAAATTTTTATCATTTACTTATTATGCTTCATTAAGTACTTATACAAAATTTTATTAAAATAAAACCATTTAAACTGGGTGTTCGGATTTATATGTCACTTAGTATATCTCCATCGCGGACTGCCCGTACGATAGGTGGCCGCCGTGCAGCGTTGTCCGCCTTTTCGTGAGAAAATTTACAAGCACATAGAAATTATTCTCCGATAGAAGGGAAACCGTGAACGAAATGATCAAGTTCATTCATATGCAGATTGAATTGTGATATTCGTTGCTAACTTTCTTCTGATGGGGACTAACTTGTCCCTTACATCATCCTTTATGAATTGATGATAGCCTAGCATCAATTTATTGGACGCAATTTTCTTGATAATAAATCATCAGTGCACTTATGTACAAAAACACCAACAACAATAATTTATCTATATCTTGATGAGGTCTATTTGATTTTCCATTAGGCAAACAACATTTTGTTACCGATACTTTTCCTATGGGCGATATACGTAGATGTTGATGCTGTCAGCGATGACGTAATGGCAAGATATGTTCTTCACAACACAGGTAAGTTCTTGGATAATATCTAGGAAAATACAATCAGGATTGTTGATGCCTATGCTCCGTGTCTCACCTCTTTGCTGAAGCTTATATATCAAATACTGTGGACAGTGAATCAGGTGACGTTAATAGACTAAGTTAATAGAACTGTTAAACTATCTTGAAAATAAGCAATTTTAACGAAAGCTACTTCCCCCTATCCTCCTTCCAAAAACATTGACTAGGAGAATATCGGCAATATAGCAGAAGAGGCTATTGAAACGCTAGAACGTCGAACAAATGCACTGACTTTAGTAGGAATTGAGTAGCCAAATGAAAACAATTAATTAAATGTGGCTTTACTGTCACATGTTCAGTGGCGCAGCATAGGTATAAACATGACATGATACCTTATAATACGTAACTGATATGTAAAATTAATCGTATGGATGTTCAAGGTCTGATAGCTGCAGCATTATTCTAGTAACAACGGTAAATCAACAAGCCTGTATATCATTTTGTAGACTGGGTGTCACTTGGAACAATCGCAGTCGAGGACTCAATCAAAGGTTATCCCTTTGTCAACATGAAGTCACACGTTGACGGACCTAAAGATGGGTCGAACGGAAACGTCTACTTGTATCTGACAGATTTGGATATAGCCTCGAAAAACATCAAGGTATGTACATGTTATCTTCATCAGTTATGCGTGTTTCTCCAACATCATTATTTTGACAACTATAGAAAAATATAATAGAAACATAACTAAGCTCAATTTTTAAAGCCATTTATATGACACCATATCAGATTTATATAATATTATACAGGGTGATTCACAAGTCGTTAACAAAAATGAGACATCATACACAGGACCGTCAACTGGAATGAACTAAAATTTGGTATATAGATTTACCTAAGTATTGTCCAAATTCACAAGTATTCCCTTAAAATCAAAGTGGACCTGTGGCGGAGATACAGGGGAGTAGTGGCATGATTTTTGCAAATAAAAACAGTACGCCACTTTTTTTTCTAAACGCGCAATTTTTCGAACCTTAAAGTCATTCGAAAAATTGCGAGTTTAGAAAAAAAGACAGTAGCATACTATTTTTATTTGAAAAAATAATGCCACTAATCTCCTGTATCTCCGCCACTGGTGTACGTTGATTTTAATTAAAGACTTTTGAACGTTGACAATACTTAGGTAAGTCCACCTACCAAATTTTAGCTCGTTCCAGTCGATGGTTTTGAAGATATAATAAAATTGTTCTTTATATTTAAACTTCAACACCCCGAATTTTATAATGAAGGAAAAAATGATAGATAGAGGACCCCCTTTAAAATGCGGTTCTGTGTATGATGTTCCATTTTTGGCCACGACTTGTGAATCACCCTGTATAGTTCAGTAAATACCAGGCGAATATTTGAACTAGTTACTCGTACATATACCTATTCTTTTTGGAGATTACAAAAAAGTCATGTCAATTTCTGGTATTACGTAATGATGGTCGCCATTTTTGAAAAAGATCTGTTTTTTTACTTTCAAAATGTGCATTATAAGATATGTGCGACATTTTTTAACACTGAGCCATTTCAATATTTACTACTACATTTGTTTTATTGGAATATATTTACCTTTATTCAGTATTATTCTCATACACTTGTTTCCTTCAAAAATGGAACAGTTAAAGACATTTGGAAAGATAATTGTATCATAAATGTTTTTTAACCCAGTTTAAATGGTTTTATTTTAATAAAATTTTGTATAAGTACTTAATGAAGCATAATAAGTAAATGATAAAAATTTCAAAATGATTGCACTGCTTTAAAGCCCTTTGACCTTTAATAATGTGTGGATGCACCCTGATGTGCTACGCATTCTCCAACACGCCTAGGCATGCTTCTGATCAAGTGGTCAATGTCCTCCTGTGGTATCTCATTCCAGGCAACCACCAACTCCTCTCGAAGTGCTTCTAGAGTCTGAGGAGGACGTTGCAAATTGAGCAATCTCCTACCCATCATATCCCACACGTGCTCAATTGGGGATAAGTCGGGAGATCTTGGTGGCCATGGTAACAATGTGACATCATTATGTTGAAAGAAGTCTATTGTGACTCTTGCAACATGTGGTCGGGCATTATCTTGTTGGAAAGTTGGATCTGCCAGGGTGTCAAGATAGGGTAAAAGATCGGGTTCTAGAACTTCGTGGATATAACGCTGTGCGTTCATGTTACCTCTGATGAAGATTAAAGGTGACCTGGAACCATAAGCTATAGCACCCCAAACCATAACTCCAACAGTGTGATGAACATGTCTTTCAACAAAAAAACTGAGGATTCCTCCTTTCACCACGTCGCCTTCTAACCCTGGCACGACCATCGTGCCTGCCTAAACAAAATCGAGACTCGTCACTAAAGACAATACTGTTCCATTCCTGATCCCAGAGTGACCGTTGTCTGCACCACTCAAGGCGATTACGTCGGTGTTCTCGAGTTAAAGGGAGGACCCAGTGTGGCCGGTATGAAAACAAGCCAAAAGTTCTCATTCGTCGGTAAACACTTCGCATGCCAATAGGTCTTCCGTGTTCTGCAAACCATTCATTTGCAATGGACCTGGTAGTGGAGAAACGGTCCCTTAAGGCCAATAATCTTAGGCGGCGATCTTCACGGTCTGTTGTTATACGGCGGCGTCCAGTGCCCCTTGCTCTTTGCGTACGGCCTTCTCGAAGCCATGCCTGACAAGTATATATAAAAACAGATACCCAGAAAGACTTGATAAACATTCCACTTTACTACACATCTTGTTTATAATTTTCTCATAATCTCATAATCTCAACTTAATTGACAGTCAACAAGAATCCGAGGTATTCAAAATTTTCTATGAATTCAATATCTTCACCGTCAATATTTAGTTGAACATTTGTATATTACGTTTTCCAATTAACCTAGCTCTAGTTTTACTTGTATTTAATTTGAGTTTGTTAGACGCTGACAATGTTAAGCAAGTTTCTAGTCCTCATTTATATATAATATTTTGAGTACTCATACAAAAATAAAAATCAAAATCAAAATTTGAATTTTGCATTTTTTGACTATGAGAGGGAAACCGTTTATGGATAAAATTGAAAGGAGTGGTCCCAGGATACTGCCCGCTGGAACACATTACGTAATTTCAATTTTTGACGGAATAGTGCTGATAGTTTTTGGAACTTGCATCCTTTTAGACAAATCATTTTCAAACCAGTCTAAAACACTTCCTGGATTTGAGTACAAACCTTGTTTTATTTAAGGTTGATAGCAGGGTGTCAGTGCTGGCAACGCTGGCAGGAACTGATTACTGCACGCGCAAGAACTACAATCCCCAGGATCCCAGATGTCCCAAGGTGATGATCACAGGGAAGTTTCTAAGATTGGAAAAATCTGATCCAGAATATAAGATGGCCAAAGAATCACTATTTGCGAAGCATCCGGTTATGGCCACTTGGCCTCCAAGTAAGTAATCTCTAACGTTCCAAATATCAAGCAGAAGATGTGGCAATTTATTCAGGGAAGAAAGTTCAGTGGTGGAACAACAAGGTCACACCGAACGTCGATGCAAAATACAGGATTACTTAAACAAATAGATTTTAAGCGTTTCACCAGTCCACACACTGGAATATTTAAATATGTACGTTCTGTTTTAGATCATTTCTTCTTCGTGGCAAAAATTGTACCAGAAGAGGTGCGTGTGATGCATGAATTTACAGGTATGGTGAAGGTAGATATCAAGGACTACCTCGGCGCTTCACCAAACGACTTCCAAGATGAAGAATCTAAACCTAGTGAATCAGCAAAGAATGGAGTTTAGCTGAAATAAACTGTTATGCAAACTTCGTTTAAATGTAAAAACAAAATAGTTGTTACAGGCCTAAGTAAATGTTCTGAAATCTAGTCTACTATTGTTTTGGCATTTGCCATGAATTTTTGCCTCGCAGATAGCGTTTATCATAATGACAAGCTACATCATTCATATTGGTCGTTTAGCTAGGCACTATCAGCTATGATTACTTGGTCCCAATCCCAATATTCCAGCCCTAACTCCCTCTAAGTGGTTCCTGCTAGCAAAAAAGGTGCTTTAGCGTTTCAATAGCCTCCAAGTAAAAATTCTGTCCGATCGATGAAAAACATTTTTCTGGTTAGTTTTGGACTTTTCTTAATCTAATTTTAAAAAAACCCTAAGATTAGTATAACTGGGAAAAGTCTCAGGTATATTGTTCTACAATATCGATACCCTGGATGACAGAGAGGAAGTCGCTGCTAGTATTCTTTCCTCCAGCTCACCAGCATAGATCGGCTTGTCACTGTGAATTACTGAATGTAAAGTGCTGTCGTCCGCAAAGATGTTGATCGGATTGATCGTACAGGAAATGATGTTCTTGATATCTAGAAGTAACAATGTCGGAGGCAAGACTGATCCCTGAGGAACATCCGCGCTGATATTGTGTCAAATATGACGGACACCTTGCGGCCAGCCACTCATCTGAAAAGCTTCTCTGGGCGGCCATAGGATGAAAGGATCCATAAGAGGACATCATGCCATCGAAAGCTTTCGTGATATCAAACGCAAAAGCATGAGCCTCAACATAACACTGGATCAGTTGCGTGACGTGAGAGTCTGAGATCACTGTGGGGCAAAAGTGACGGTGGATCTGCCAATCCAGAGCCTGTTTGGTTTAGAGCTACAGTAGTACAGAAGGTACGTCATTACCGTGACGAAACAGTACTTAACTTCTGACGCTTAAGAGCAGTTTTAGAATTAAGCTTGCTTAATAGGGTGCCGTAATGTCAACACGTTCAGCTTGCCATATTATGCTTTTTAGTGCAAAATTTCAATTCAGTGAGCTAACTTTAGATGATCCAATATTCAGTTTGTCCGACACATATAAACTAATCTGACAACCTTAATAAAATTTTGCAATAAACATTTTTGCAGTCTCTTCTTATAAATCTAGTTGCTCGATCTATGGACTTCAATTATGAAAATCATCAAAAAACTATCATTAAAAAAGATTTGGACTTACGTATATATGAACTCATCCGAATGACTAAAATTGTATGGTCAGCCTACCGAATTTCATTTGACGAACATTTCGTACGCTCTGTGGAATCGCAAATTATCAAGTATCCACAGGTCATATATTTACTAAAAATAATAGTAATAACATTAATTTACCAAAACTACAAATAAAACAATGTAACACAATGGGTACAAAGGAGGGATTGCTTGTACAAGGACCAGTAGCTATGTTCCGGCCTCGTCTCGTAAATAGACCAGATGTAGTACCCCGGTTTCCTGGCCAAACCTACCAGTCCAAAGCGCGCTCGCAGCGAATAAAATCAATTGAGTGATACCTAGGGAGAAAGGGAGCTATTTATTTCGACGAGGCCTTTACATAATTAATATCGAACATTACTTTCAGGTAAGTCCGTTTGATGACGTATAACAGAAATCATAAACAAGTGCGAGAAATAGCTCCTATACAAATATCAACCGCAGGTATATGTATGGATTGAACAATGTGTGGTATAAAGTACGGAGGTACTTTTCTGTCAAAATGCTTATGATATATTCAATTTTATATGACAAGTCACACTTCTTCTAAAATATAAGTGATGTGGATTTTTGCAATGTAAGTCAGAATCTAGGAATCATCTGAGATATGTTTGGTGCTCTGCAATTTGGAGTTTCTAACTGTTTACGGCAGAAGATTTACATGGTGTCCAATGGGAACGTTCACATTTCAAATTCGAATCACGCGGCAACCGTATACGCGAGGAAGTGGGGAGAGGTGTTGATCGACGCGTTCGGCTTGCGGGTTAAATAGTCACAATGGAACGTTGGACCGGAGCGCAACGTGCTTTTGCTATCGAGACTTACTTTAAGAGTAGTGATCCATACGCAGCTGCTCTTCGGAAATTTTGCACACGATACAACATTCGCAGACCAAGAGATGCGCCAAGTAAGAACCTATCGAAAAAATGGATTAAAAAGTTCCTTGAAACAGGCTGTACTCTTAGTCATTGCAAGTCCTCGGCGTTCTGTACGGAAGAATTCCGCTGCTTAGGCAATCCTTAGGTCAACACTGTATGGCATAATGAAGAAAAAAAAATGAGTTTTCATCCTTATAAAATAAAATCAATCCATTCTTTGAAGGAAATTGATTACGAATTATGGAAATCTTGTGCTGAACGGATGTTGATTTTTTTTCCTACGCAGCGCAGACTCGATAACGTCGTTTTCAGTGACGAGGCAGATTTTCGGTTAGACGGTTATGTGAACAAGCAAAATTGCAGATATTGGACACCAACGAACCCAAAAGAGAAACATCAACAACAGCTACATGGTCCATCTAGCGGTATTATTGGGCCGTATTTTTTTGAAGATGAAAACGGTCATGCGTTGGCAGTCAATCCCGAGCGATACAAGGACATGATTGACACTTTTTTTTTGCTCCTATTGTAAGAACAGGACGTCGATTTAACAGAAACGCATGGTCTCAACAGCATGGGGCCACTGCCCATACTTCCAGAGAATGAATGGACACGGTGAAAGCAATTTTTACTCAAAAAGATGTATCGAAGTTTGTGAGACATTCACTATTCACTGGCCTCCTAGGTAACCCGACCTCACGCCATGCGATTATTTTTTGTGGGGTTATCTAAAGTCAAAATTATACTCCCATAATCCACGAACACTGGAGGAGCTTAAAGATAACATGCGTCGAGAAATAAACATCACTCCGGAACTCTGCAATAGAGTGTTTCAGAATTTGCGTAAGCTTGTATCTTTTTTCTTAAATCAAAAAGTGAACTTTTCACTGCATAATTTGGTAAATGCCTAGCGTAAGATACAGTTGGTAAAAAAATGACTTTTTGGATAATTTATGCTCAATTTTCTGTTGTTAAGCCACTGTATAATTTTGGTGAAATCATTTTCGATTATGTTTTCCAGATGACCCCAATTATCACCTTATATACAGGGTGACTTTGAAGTTGAGTCATTAATTTTCAGATAATGATTGTAGAAGGAAGATAAACCAAAATATTTGTGTAAAAATAAAAAAAAAATTAAAAAAAAATTTTACCTTGTTTTATAAAGTATCCTCCCGACAAGTATTTCAGTGCGGACCTGTATTTGATCGTGCGGTCTTGGAGCACCGGCATGCCTTCCGCTGTGAGGTCTTAAGTCACCTGATTCACGAGCCCTTTGTACTACATTAACAAAGGCACGAGGGGTTGGTTGCACTCGATTGGGAAACCGATCCACATAAATCCGTGATGCCGCGTAAATAAGAATCATGTCCACAAGTTCAGCATTTTCGTAAACATGTGCCATTTTTGATTTCTTTTGAGCCACGCAACAGACACCACTATTCACTCACGCGTTACCGACTGACACTGACTGTATACAACTGAATAAAATAATTGTAAAAACATCGTTCCAAATTCTTTCGCTTTTTTGTTTCCGATGCGATGAACCGATAAGGCGGATTATATCCGTTGTCGCCAAACACGAGCACATAATATTATTATTGAGACAGGGCGGTACTCAAACTTCCAAAGGGCTATAACTTTGTTAATTTAATTTTACCAGAAAAACGGTAAAGGAAAAAAACATTTCTTTTGATCAGATCTATTCACTGTTAAAATAAATGACTCAACTTCGAAGTCACCCTGTATAACAGTGCAGTATCCTCTGAAAAACTTATTATTTTGTCGATACAATGGATCAAATACATGTTAAACAGTAGTGGGACCAAGACGGTACCCTGTGGGACACAACATTTCAGAGACATTTCCTTAATAACTGAGTTTGATATCTGATCAGACAGTTGGGTAGATAATTTTCGATTAACAAGTACGAGCCCCTTCCCACTTCAGTGTTCTATTAGTTATAAGTCTAAGTGATTTCAAATATGTATTTTTTATAACTAGAGTGTATCTAAAATGTTTTTGAGAAAATAAATTGTTTTAGAAGTAAATAGTTCCGTCATGTTTAGTTTATAAAGGCATATTTTGGTACAAATCTTGAAGTGGGCCAACTGAAGTGGGAAGGGGCTCGTACATTCCCCCGTCTAAAACCAACCCTCTCCAAAGTACCTAATAATGATTTACCGTTTACAGAATCAAAAACTTCAAGTCGACAAAAATGTAAATGGAAGGAGTGTTATCGTTAAGATTTTGTTACATTTGATTTTCAATATCCAGCATTGCATCTAGTAGTTTGGCTTGCCACGTATTCCCAATATGATGAAACCTCCACTTTGATATTTTACGTCTCAACCATTTTTCATCTGGAATAATTCAAGTTCGTAACTCAATTCCGCGATTAACTGCAATACCAGTTCCTATTCTCCCTTCAATTTGCTGAAACGCCGACACAAACAACATTACATTTCCATCTACTTAAAATTCAATTCTAACAATAGCTTGCAAGTAATCAGCTTATATACTTTGCGTCGATACTGCAATTTATTCCTCAAGATAAACATCACTGCACCTGTTGCGCGCAATTGTATAAAAAGACAACATGATACAATCGCTGCAATTCAGATATCTCACTGCAACTCTTGTGGAACTGTTATACACAGTGCGACTAATAATTTTTGAGACTGGGTCTATAAAATGGGATACAAACAACATATACCGAGTGAAAAAGGTTAACACTTACGTATGTTCAGTAGTTTTGAAGATTTATTGATTTAACAACAAAGTTTAGTCAAATCAATCTCAAACTGTGTACTAAATTCCTATTTAAAATAAGTACGAGATAACTCCTTATCTTTCTTCAAGAAATAACTTTTTTGCCACAAGAAAACGCTCCAATAGCCATTTTTAACAACAAAATGATAAACAAACCATGGGCGTAGTGAAGAAAACCATTTACTTGTT